ATTCAACTATTTCATAATTCCACTCTCTGTGGCACAAAATCTCCTTTCTGCTTGAAGGTGCTCTTCTCTCTTGGAAGTCAGCTACTCAACTGGTCTGCTGCACAGCTCTTATGCTGGGCATACCCCCATTATGTTTTTTTAAAGATTTATTTGTATTATCTTTAATTATGTGGGGGGGTACGTGCATGTGAATGCAGGTGCCTGAGAAGACCAGAGGCATTGGATCTGCTGGAGCTGGATTTAAAGGCAGCTGTAAGTCACCATATATGAGTTCTGGGAATTGAACTCGGGTTTTCTCTAAGAGAAGCTGCCTGCTTAACCACTCTCCATCTCTTCAATGCACTCTTGGGTTCCACATTTTTCCTATTCGTGAGTTTCCTTTTTACTGATCCATCCTTGATTGGTTTTCAGAATGATCTGTGAGAAGTGGGCTTCCTGAGTTTTGACACATCTATGCCTTTATCATATGCTGTAGTTGAGGACTGGCTTGACAGGACATAGTATTCTGAATCCATGAAAAGCTCTGCTGTTCTGTGGCTGTGAGGGTTGGTGATGGGAAAACTGGTTCTGATCTGACTTGACTTTATTCTGCTGTGGTTAACTATTGTTTGTTCTGTGGAAGTTTCTCTCTCAGTATTTTTTTTTTGTGTCTCTTAGTATTTTTTAAAGTTTTTTTTTTAACTTTAAAAATGTTTCACATGTATGAATGTTTTGGCTGTGTGTGTGTGTGTGTGTGTGTGTGTGTGTGTGTGTGTGTACCACATGCATGCGATGCCCACAGAGGCCAGAAGAGGGCATCAGATCCCCTGGAACTTGAGTATGGATGTTGTTGGCTGCCATGTGGGTACTGGGAACTGAAACCCAGTCCTCTGCAAGAGCAGCCAGTACTCTTAACTGCTGAGCCATCTCTCCGGTCCCTAAAAGATTTGTTTTTATTTATGTGTATGTGTACATGTTTGTGTGTGTGTGTGTGCGTGCACATGTGTGTGTGGGTGCCTGAGAAGGCCAAAAGAGAACATCAGATCCCCTGGACCTGGAGTTATAGGTGGTTGTGAGCTGACCAACATATTGGGGATCGAACTCAGGTTGTCTGGGAGAATTACATACATGTATACAACATATTTTGATCATACTCACTTCTTACTCCTCCAACTTTCTAGATTGATCCCCTACCCCCTCCCAACTTTTTTTTTGTTTTTTAATAATCCACTGAGACCAGCTTGTGCTGCCCCTATACTCATGGGTATGGGACCATCTCCTTCCCCCAGAAGCCACTAACTGTCAATAATAGTTCCTCAGCTAGCGGTGGGGGCTCACAAGCCCCTTCCTCCTCCAAGCTAGAATGTTGACTAGGTTCCACTAAGCTGTGTGAGTTTGTGAGTGCAGCAGTTCTACTGTGTCGACACTGTTTTACTCTGGTCCTCCCTGACCTCTGGCCCTTACAATCTTTCTTCCACCCTCTTCCTCGATGGTCGCTGAGCCTAGGGGAAAGGGACTATGATATAGATGTCCCAAGTGTGGCTAAACATTCCACAAACATTGGTCTGCACTTTGGTCAGTTATGAGCTTCTGTGTTAACTGCTGTTCACTGTACAAAGAATGAGACACACTCAAATTATATCCAGACCATACCAGTGGCCAGCAGTATTTACAGTCATTAACAATAGGGGTTGGGGATTTAGCAGTGAAAGAGTGATTGTCTACCATGTACAAGGCCCTGGGTGCCATTCTCAGCACTAAAACCAACAATACGGTCCAGTAAGATGGCTCAGAGGGTAGAATCAAGCCTGATGACTTTAGTTCCAATCTGGGTAGTTCCACGTGGTAGGAGAGAACTGACTCCTACAAATTGTCTTCTGATCTTCACACATGTACATGTACATACACATACGCAAAAATGCTATATAAAACTACAAAAAAACCCAACAAGAGAAACACCACTACTTTTAGAATACTTTACAAGCAAGATACAGTGCTCATACCTTAATTTTAAAAAAAAATTATTATTAGGCATGCTGGGGTGTGTGCGCCACAGCACAGATATGGAGGTCAGGATCAGAGGATAACTTTGTGGAGTCAGTTCTCTCCTTCCATTTTATGTGGGTTTTCTGGTATTGAACTCAGGACATTTAGCTCTAAATGATCATTATTATTACTGTGTAGTTCATATGTATCATCCACAGGTAGAGCTCTGGATACTCAGTTAAGATTGAATTTGACCTACATTTGAGTTTCAGAAAGACAAAACCCAATTATTTTTTCAGGTAATTATGTAAGGAACATTTTTTTTCTTTCTTTTTTGTTGTCATTTTTTAACCAGTTAACTTATTTTTATATTTTTATGTACATGAGTGTTTTACCTGCTTGCATGTAAGTGCACCTATGTCGTGCAATACCTACATAGGCCAGAAGAGGGCATCAATCTCCAGGAACAGGAGTTATGGATGGTTGTTAGCTGTAATGTAAGTGCTGGGAACCAAACCTGTGTCCTCTGTTGGAGCAGCCAGTGTTGTTAACCACTGAGCCAACTCTCCAGTCCCTTTTTCAATTTTATTTGTTATATGTATGAGTGTATTGCCTGCATGTGTGTAAGGGCACCCATGTCCTGCAGTGCCCAAGGTCAGAAGAACTCCCTATATAGACCAGGCCAACCTCAAACTCACAGAGCTCTATCTGCCTCTGCTTCCCCAATGCTGGACTTAAAGGCTTATGACACTATGCCCATCCTCAAATGTCTTAGAGCTGGTTTCTGCAGACTATGAACAAATATTCCTTTTATCTTTAAACTTTTTACCTCTATTTTAACTATTATATTTATTTACTGTGTGTATATGTACATGTACCACAGTGCACCTGTGGAGATCAGAAGACAACCTGAAGGACTGTTATTTCCTTCTACCATGGGGACCCAGGAATTGAACTCATGTTTTCAGGTTTGGCAGCAAGTGCCTAACCCTGCTAAGCAATGTCGCTGACCCTGTCTCAAATATTGTACTGAAAATACTTATATTTAAAAAAAAATCCACAATTTCTGAAATTCAAATTCAAATTTAAGTGTGCATTTTGTGTTTTACCTTGGCAAAGCAACTTTCTTTTTTAAAAGAGAAACCTAAAAAAGTGGTGGTGGGGGGGGAGAAACCTAGGTTTGTAAACCTTTGATACTTCATCTGCTCACATTTAGTAGGCCAATATCCCCCAAGACAGTGTTTTCTCTTCCAAGTCATGCTCAATTATCACATAGCAGGGAAACAAATAGTTCCCATATTGTTGGAGTAGAATATAGTATTTTTGCCAAATTGAAATCTGTTGAATCTGGTTACTGTACTGAATAAACTAGTCATGAGTGTTTTCTGAATTATATTTGTATTTAAACTCTCATTTGGAAAACCACAGAGCACTAAGTACAAAAATCATATTAGTGGCTACTGAAAATATACAAACTAAAACTTTCAGACAGTCCCTAATATCTTTGAAACATGACTTCATAATGCTCTTGTTTTCTATGTTTGTTCTGTGTGTACTAGATAATTATTTTTAAAGTATGCTTGTTATTAGCACATACACACATAAAATAAGCAGATAGGTTATATATTTCATTCCAAATAGACTATTTTTCTTTTAAATGTTTTTATTTATTTTTATGTGTATGAGTGTAGATGCACCACCTGCATGCAGTGTCCACAGAGGCCAGAAGAGGGTGTTGGAGCCCCTGGAACTGGCATTACGATGATTGTTAGCCAGGTGCTAGGAATCAAACCTGGGTCTTCTGCAAGAGCAGACAGTGCACTTAACTGCTGAGCCATCTCTCCAGCCCCACTATCTTTCTTCTTACCTACACTAAAAGCTTGCAACTAATTGTACGAATACTTTAGCTCTCCCCTAATGGGTAGTTTGTTTGAAATAAAAATATTTATTTCCATTTCTTCCACTTTAACCTTTTCTTTAATCTAAAATTCATTCTACAGGGCTGGAGAAATGGCTCAGTGCTTAAGAGCACTGACTGCTCTTACAGAGGACCCAGGTTCAATTCCCAGCACCCACATGGTAGCTAACAATCATTAGTAACTCCAGTTCCAGAGGCTATGATGCCTTCTTCTGACCTTCGTAAGCACTGCACAACACGGGTGCACTTACACATATGCAGGCAATACACTTAGGGGAAAAAATGCATTCTGGTTTCCCTGCGTGATATTTTGGTTATTTCTAATACCAATTCCATGCCAAACTCTACAAAATGATTCTGCAAGTCTTCTGGTATTATTAGTCTAAAAACTGGAGGACTGAGGCTATAACTCGGTGAAGTGTTTGACCTGCATGCATGAGGCACTAGGTTCAAACCCCCCAAACCCCCCAAAACAAAATAAAAACAAAACAAAAAAAGTAACAGGAAGCCAGACATGGTAGCATACTCCTGTAAAACAGCACTCGGGATTCTTAGGCAGGAAGATTTCCAGCTTGGGCTACATAGGGAGTATCAAGTAAACCAGGGCTACACAGCAAGAGCCTGTCTTGTCAAAAAAAAACCAAACTGGATTTTGAGAGCCATCATAAATTTAGGGGTTTTGTAAAGAAGAAAATTATTGCAAACAATGTTATATTTCTTTACTCATGACTGTTATTTATCACAGGTAGGGTTCCTTTTTTTTTTTCCTAAAAAAAAAAAAAAAAAAAAAAAAAATCTCACCTGCTCAAACTCGAATTTTGTCCTAAAATCCTGTCTATGCTCTGAGAGCACTGTGCTCTTCGGCTCCATCTCCCGTAGGAAGACGCTGACTGCATCCTCGGCCCCGCCCTAGCCCCCACACCCGCAAAGTGATTCAAGCATCCGCACCGCAGTACTTCCGAGCAAATAACTGGGAGCCTTTGAGTGGACAGGAAACTCAGGAAAACCCAATGATTTCACTAGGAAATTCAACCGAATCTGAGAAAAACTACGGTACTCCACCTCGTTAACACAGTACTTAGAATGAAACTGCCCCTGGCCGGAGAATCCCCGTCAGAGCCCCGCAGCAGCCAGGTGCGTGCTGAAAGCCACACCCGCCCCCCCCGGCCCTGCGCAGGGGTCTCCTAGCGACGTCACAAAACCCCAGGGAGAACGTGCGGTTCGCAGGGTGCATCCCTCCTGGGGAGGGCACCAGGCTGTCGCGGTCACCCCGCAGCCTGCCTCCCCCGGGCCCTGGACTTGGAGTGCCCCGGAGGTCCAGTGGAGAGAGCTGCGGACGGGATGCCCACCTACCCCGGGTCACTACCCTGCAGGTCGCCGAGCCTTCGGATTTCCGACCGTAGCAGCCCGGCCTTCCTCACACCTGGGCGGGGACTGCAGGCGCCGGGGGAAGCCGGGCCGGAGGGCGGGCTCGGGGCGGAGCCTGGAGGACGAAGGCGGGGCCAGAGAGGCCCGGAGGTGGGGTCAGGCTCCCGGGGGCGGGGCCGGGGCGCGGCGCACTCGGCCTTCGGGCCGCGCCCAGGCGGACGGGAGGCAGCGGCCGCAGCTCGGGCCTGCGGCGCGGGGATTGGCTGCAGCGGGCGGAGACGTCAGGCTCCCGGGGCCCCAACGGCCGCTCAGCGCGGCGCGGCGCAGTCGGCTCGAGTGGCCCCGTAGCGAGGAGCTTGCCTCAGCCGTGTCCCCCTCCGCCGCCGCCGGGCTGCGCCGCTATTGCCCGGACGCATCGCCTAGCTTCTCGCCGCGCTCAGCCCCGCGGCCTCCGCTCCCCTCGCCGTCCGCACCCGCAACATGACGAAGACCGAGAAGAAGTCTTTCCACCAGAGCGTGGCCGAGTGGAAGCTCTTCATCTACAACCCGACCAGCGGAGAGTTCCTGGGGCGCACCGCCAAGAGCTGGGGTGAGCGGGCGGCGGCGGGCGGGCGGGACAGGCGGCGGGGTCGCGGCTGCCACCGCGGAGGCCCCATTCATTGCCGGTGGCCCGGAGGCCCCGCTCCGAGGCTGGGCGGCCGCCTGCTGGTCTCCTTTCCCGGGCCCGAGCTGGGCGCACGTGCCGCCGGCTTCCCGCCGCGAGCAGCGCCGGAAGCCCGGACCCCGCGGACCGGGCCCGGGCCTCCTTTGTACCGAGCGCGGCCCGGCGGAGTCGGGGGAGCGGGACCTGCCGGCCGCTCGCCTGGGGAGAGGAAATTTCCACTGTCCGCTATCTTGTGACTCGGCGGCGCTGCCACCCGGACGCTCGGGAGAGTGCGGGCGCGCGCCGGGTGTGTGTGGGCTGCGGGGACGAGTGACGGGGAGTTAATCACTGGAGCACATTGTCCGCGAGCTGCACTTGAATTCCGGCAGAGGGGCCGGCAGCAGCGGCCTCCTCGGCGCTCGCGATGGAACAGCACTCTGCCTTCAAACATGTTGAGTGATGCTTGAATGTTAGCAGCTTTTCTCTGCGCGAAGCCTTTGTTTTAAAAGAAACAGTTAATCTATCTTCTGGATGTTGTGCTGCTTTTTTTGTTAGAAAAATACTCAGCGACGATGGACAAGTGCTTTGGAGTTTTTGCCTTTCTACTTCCACAATATTGCCTTTTTTGAAATCCTTTTTAAAAGTATTTTGCTGGTGGGTCTTGACAGACTTTTCTGCCTGAGAATAGAGTTGTAGTACCATTGGGGCACTGTATGTTTAAAAGAAACATGAAGACCGTACTTGACTGTGGCTTGGAAAAGAACTTGCTGCTCACCGTTCTGAGTTCCTCCGGGGTGGAAAGGATTGACGTCCTATCACAGGCTGGAAGGGGCATTGAAGGGTTTTTCTTTTTTATTTTTTTACTCCCAACCTCCACTTTAGAAATAAGGAAAAATGAGACCCAGAAGTTGTTGTGATTTTGCCTGTGTAAAATTACATAGTCTACAGAGCCAAGAAAAGAACCCTTGCCCCTTTAATCCTAGTCCAGTGGTTGTATTATCTTACAGATGCCTTGCCTAACTGCACAGTAATCATGTGCAATTTTTATTTAAATTGCCATCTTTTCTTGGGAGCCTACTGGTGTGATGAAACAAGTCCTCTCTCCAAGGTTAAATGGAGAGGAACGATGATAATTGCTTTTCTCTAGAGGATACTTTTCATTGAAGAAAGTTTTGAGCGGCAGAGATTGACTTTGGTAGGCTGTCTTCTGGCCTTGCCTTCTCATTTCTAGCACTGAATATTTTCACTTTGTTAGCTCGACTTTTCTTTCTGCAGATAGTACTTTTTTTTTAAGGCAGAGTCTCACTGTATCCCAAACTGGCCTTCAGTTGTCTCTAGCCCAGGCTGGCCTAAAACTTGGCAGTCCTCCTATCTCAGTCCCTTACATGCATGAACTACCATGCTGGATTAGAGAATACTCTTTATTTATTAATCTTTTTGTTAGGATAGAGATTTCATTGGTAATATGCATTTAAATAGATAACATGTACAAAGTATCTCTGTATAGGACAAGAGTATAAGGGCTATAGTGGAACGTATGAATAAAATTGGGATTAGTTTTGGAGAATTAAGGTAAGACCTATTTTCAGAATCATTACCCTTTTGCACAAGTAGTAGATCTCATATTTAGGTGAAGACTATAATTCCTTACCAAGGCAAGAAAAGTGGGCAAGTGGTGAGAGGGGGCTTAAATCCATCCTAGGTGCAATATTGTGTACATGGACCTGGGCTGGGTCTGCCTAGAGAAGGAACACCTATACTCCAGTCAAGGCCAGTTTGTCTGTGTGGCTGGCTGATGCCTCTGTGGCCTGGCTGCCTGATCCCTTCACTTAACATTTTGTATTTGGTTTCTGAAGTTTATGTGTTTAATTTTTCTTTTTTGGGGGGAGGGGTCTTTTTGATACAGGGTTTACCTGTAGCCCCAACTGGCCCCTATGTAGATCAGACTGGCCTTGAACTCACAGAGATCTGCCTGCCTCTGCCTCCCAAGTGCTAGGATTAAAGGTGTGCAGTACCAGGCCTGGCAGTTTTAAAATTTTTTTTTAAGTTTATTATTTTTATTTTGTGTGTATGAGTATATTGCCTGCATGTATGTGAGTGTACCATGTCATGCAGTGTCACAGAGGTCAGAAAAGGGCATCGGATCCCCCTGGAACTGGAGTTAAGTATGGTTCATAGCTGCCATATGGGTACTGGGAATCATATCTGGGTTCTCTGCAAGAGCAGTCAGTGCTCTTAGTCACTGAGCCATCTCTCTAGCCCCTTAAATATCTTTTTAAGCCAAAAGAAATCAGACAGTGTACTCTTCTAGTTATGTTGTGAGCATCTTCCCATGTTAATAAAGCTTTGTATCCCCATTTTTATTGAATTTTGGGACTGGAGAGATGGCTCTGTGATTAAGAGCACTAGCTGCTCTTGCAGAGGACCTGGGTTCGGTTCCCAATACCCACATGGCAACCAACAACCATCTGTAACTCTGGTTTTAGGGGATCTGACGCCCTCTTCTGGCCTCCATG